CAGGAAAAAGGCACACTTATCCTACACAACTTACATACATCCACAGAATTGTCTTGCCATTTTTCCAATTAAAAATCTATGGTAAATTCAATTTAGAAAAGCATTTCTTTAAACTCCCTTTAACGTGATTTAATGCCTAGAAGCAAAGAGGTTGGATCCATAAAAACAATTATTTGCACACAAAATGGGCTGTCTGCAGTCTACAGTGTAAGAGCTGCAGATGAAGAATATGCTGAAGGGACCAAAATGAAGTTCATTCTCTACTGACTTTTATTTATTTTATGAAGTTCAATTTTTTTTTTAAATCCTCCCAATACTTGCCTGAGAAAGTACGGCTTAGCATAAAATTTAAAATCTTCCCCTTCAAAATACACATCGAACTCTGAAGCTCTGGCATAAGGTACTTTGATTATTATTGTAAGAAAATCCGGATCCTGGGTCAGCTCAAAAGCTGGAGTTAGCATGATGAATCCAGCAGGAAAAGCAACTACTGGCTCTGTGACCCTACCAAAACAGGAAAACAAGAAAAGATTATTGTATTTTCCTATTTATGACAGCAAATAGTGTCTCTTAAAAATTCAACAAGATGACCATTTCAGATTCTCACAGAATTACATTCCACATACTGGTGACAACAACAAAAAAGCATCATCAAGAATTTGAAGGCATCATCTCTCTGCACCTCCATGAAACAACTCAATGTAAATGAACACAAACACCTGGAGCACAGGAAAGCACCCACTATATTCTGCATAAAAAGCACACCAAGTTCACTCCTAGAACTTGGCAGCTTTTTGTACCTTGTTTATAATTTCACACATAGCAGATGTTAGATCTGTACAGTTCATTAGTGCACTGATCACAAACCACCATTAGAAAATACTGGAAAACAGTAATACTTTCAAAAAGTTAGATCTATATTTTATAATCCATACACACATTAGCCAGAACACAAGCAATAGATTCAGTATACCCCAAACAGATTTTCTGAGTGTACACAGTATGCACGCTGCTCCTCATGTGAAATTTAATGCACAAGCCATTGAGTTAGCACACACACAGTAAGTCAAAGATGCTCCTTCGCGGTGGGCTCATGACACAAGAGCTGTCTGAACAGTTTAAACACGAGCAGTTGACACACTCAGAACATCCAGTGCAAACATGCTTACTGTTTTGATCAGTTTGCAGGGTTTTTCACAAGTCTTGAAGCCCCATCCTAAAAACCTCACATTCTTCCTGAAGATTCAGTCAAAGAAAACATAAATAATACAGTAGGTGTAACTGAATTAAATTATCTAGAGGATATTTGGGATCTCCTTCACCAAGGACAGTTTAGATCGACATCCATCAGAACCATAGGTATGTATGTACATGGGCATGTGTATGTATTTAGCATGAGAGAAGGAATTTACATAGTACCATTCACCCGATATACAACTTGTCTGACCCTTCAATAGCTTCCAAATGCAAGATAATTCCTCAGGTTTAACTCAGAATTTGGGAGGCGGGGAGGTGGTGGGTTTTTTCAGGGGGGTGGAGGAATGATCACACACTTTTGAAAAATTAACTTTTAAAGACAAAAGTATTTTTACCAAAAAAATACAAAAGTTAACTATTATCTGGGAAAAAGCTACTTTTCACTGATTTTCACAGATATTAAACATATCCCCATTCTTACAACTTCATGAGCAAACAGAGAGCATTAACCATTAATAGGGCTAAATTTAACCGATTACTCATTTTTTTCATATGGGTAATTCATATGGATAATCTACCTCACATGGCAGGAATGAAAGAAGTAAAACTTCCCATTTCACTGTATCACTTGATTCCAGGGCATCATTCCCAACCTTCCCAGGCTGAGCAGCTGCTGTGTGCTTAGCAAGTTGTAACTAGGTAAGAAATACCTGGCTTGAAGAACACCTGCAAACCAATATACATTTCTGTGGACTTTCTTCTTCCCTATTTAAACACCACACACTGTCTAACAACATGGGATAAGAGGTAACAAAAACCCAGTAGCTCATTTAGATGCTTCAAGGGCGATATGCCAGCCTGCATTTTTATTTTCCCGAATCAGAGGTTCATGACGTTTAACAGCAGCCCCAAAGCCAGGCCCAGCTGTTCCCACTCTCAGCGCTGCTGGCCTTTTGGCATCCCTGACCCAAATTAACTAAACTAACGTGGAGGTTCCCACACAAATCCCAGGTATTTCACACATCACAACCTAGGACCCGCCGATATCCATCCCACAACAATGCAATACTCAATCCCCAGCAGCGCTTGTTCCAATTGAAAATCAGGTATCCCAAAATAATTAAGCTTCCCAGCCTTTTCTGTAAAAAGACCGCTAGAGAAAAAACCCACCACAGCTAGTAGAACTAAGGGGCAGGCAGGAAAAGGGACAAACGCTGTGCTCTGCTTTCCCTCACAGGCACTACAGTAGGACATCATTTCCCTCCGCTGCTCGTTGAAGAGGGCCAAAGGCCGACTTTCA